CAACTGGATGGATTTGGGGATGGAGGTAGATTTGCAAGACACAGCTCAAGAGGTGCTCCGGAAGTTACGTACGGCGGGAGCAGGAGTATGTTCTCCAAACATTGTTTCGAGATCTGGCATATTTGGGCTCAGATCTTGCGTCATCGTGTCATGCAACTCTTTCTTAGCTTTTGAAACATCAAATTCTACGTCCGATGAGATCTTGAAAATCGTCCCCCTCTCGATCCGCTTGACGACGCTCCCGAAACCGCAGACTTCGGCGATAGATGTCGCTTTGGAGGACCATGGAGATATAGTGCCCTTTCTCGGATGTACAAACCATGTAGTAGTATCAACCCCGTCCTCGTCTTCTTCGAGATACTCATCGCCATAAGTGAGCATTTCGATGAGATCATTTTGATTGTAGTCTTTAGTAACGTCACCGCCGTGTAGTGCCACGAAGTGAACCCATCGAGCGCGGACATCATTGACATGAAGCTGGCTAGCAAGAGCTCTTCTCCGGAAGTCGGACAGGGCACTGGAGCCTAGGCAAGTGATATAGGACATTTTAACAATAATAATCGGAATGGATGTCTAGATGATCAATATCTTGGGACGGCTTATGCTAGGGATGCGGCCGTGAACATATTCTGTGGATGTCATGGAACTCTGGAACTTGGCCTTTCATGATTATGTCTGAGACTAGCAGCGAAACAGCTCCAAAAGAAATGCGATATGTTGATGAAGTGGGATGAAACTACCTAGCACTTTTTTTATGAAAAATTCTTATCTTATCAGATTGGATTAATCTTAGCCTCCGTTCCGTGCCAAGCGAGGCATCGGGCGGGAATCGGCAATTCAATTGGCGGCTAAGACCGGAATTGGTAAAAGTTTCCAGGCACAGCTTGTCTTCAAAATATGCCTGCGAGGATGTATAAAAGATGGTGGCCTCAGCAGGGTGTAGAATAAAAGTGTCAAAGACATCCCCCAACTTTCCACTCTGTAATTCGCGGAAAGATGCGATTACCTCGCAGCCTTCGCCCCTTCCGCCTTATCCGACAAGATTTGCACAACCTTCGAGTTCGCTATGTATCCGATTGGACAGTGTTCAACCAGCTCGTAGTAGCTTCCGCCGTCTACGTCTTTTTTACTAACTTGCTCCCCGGTATCACCTTCGCGAGTGACCTGTATGTGCTGACTGGGAAGTCATGGGGAACAATTGAAGTGGTATTTAGTACGGGGCTCTGCGGCGTCATATTCAGCCTGTGAGTCCAGATAAATCTCTTACCTTCGCGGAAACATTCTCGTCTGCCTGTAAGGATCAGCCTTAGAAAAAGAAAGCAAGGCTCATGAGAGCCCTACAGATTGTCGATTCAGCCCCTCACAATCCTAGGCGTGACTGGGCCATTCTCGGTACTCGCTGAGAATATTTATTCGTTATGTATCGGCTCTTTAGATGTAGGTCGAGTAGAACCCTAGGTCTCCGGGCACATATCTTAATCGCGGATGCTTTAGATACCATTCCTTCCCTTCATGGCGTGGTCACTCATCCATGCAGGATGGATGCACTACCTTCTTGCTGTTCTCAACGCCCACGACTGGACCATGCGATACGTAACCACTTTTTCTACTGAGATCTTCTCCCTTCTGAACAGTATCATCTATTTCCACAAAGCTTTACAGGAGCTGCAACGTGCTCATAGTGCCCTGTCTTTCGCCGCATTTCTCTACGCTATCATTGGCGCAGTTGGTACTATGCTGGTGGCCATATTTCTCTCGACCGCCGAGTCCTGGAGACCGCTCTTTCATAGATACCTTCGGATGGGACTCGCGGAGTATGCGGCCGCTATCAGTATCATAATCTTCATTGGGATGCCGCATGTTGGAGAGCTAGCGTCATTGGACAAGCAAACGCTGCCAGTCAGTAGCCACGCCTTTCGGCCAAGTAGTCCTGATCGCTCTGTTTTCTTTGTTCAATTCTGGCATTTGCCAGCAACCTGGATCTTTGCTGCCATAATTCCAGGGTTCATCATAACCATCCTTTTCTTCTTCGATCACGAGGTTAGTAGCATCATCTGCACTATTGACAGATATGGCACCAAGAAACCTGGTGGCTTCGCCTGGGACATTGTATTGCTCGGAACGACAACAGCACTCTGTGGGATATTGGGAATACCGCCTGCGAATGGGCTTCTACCTCAAGCACCTCTTCATTCCGAGAGCCTTCTGCACCCTGAGAAAGAGCCCGCTTCTATCTCTATAACAGGCAATGGGGAGACAGAGGAGAAGACGGAGGATCAAGAAGTGCGAAGGGTGTATGAGCAAAGGTGGAGCGCTTTTCTGCACGCTGGAGCGATCTTATGCTTCATCAGCCCGCCTCTTCAGCTGGTTCTCGGTCTGACTCCGACAAGTGTCTTGGCAGGACTGTTCATGTTCATGGGTGAGCAGAGCCTTGCAGTGAAGTAGGCACACCACCCTTTGGAAGCGACTGATGCCCTATTGACTTGACCGCCAGCCCAATACTCCACCGGTCTTCCTACCTTCTCACTCCACCCTCCGAGCTACCAGCATTGCCTAAAGCTGTCCATGGCCATCTTGGCGTACATGTCTATACAGTCGTACAGATCGTATTGACTGTAGTAATTTTTATTGTGACTTTGACAAAAGGTGCTCCTGCATTTCCCGTCATCATCATTGCTTTGGTGCCGGCCAGGCTGCTGTTAATGAGAAAGCTATGGTGCAGAGAGACCTTAAGATTTGTCGATGCTTGGGCTTGCAGAGATGGCACTCCTGAAGATGACGAAGATCAAAACGCTGCTACTGAACCTAGACCTATCGTCGAGGGTCATAGCAACGGAGCTGAGCAACCGAACAGTCCGATAGTGTGAGGATGAATAAGAAGGGAGACCAATCACCAGTGAAGCTACTCAGTTTGAAGAGTACAACACTTCCTGGCGCACAATACTCCGTGAGTTCAGACTCATAATGGCAAGAGATCTATAAAATGTCACCACTGGGAATGACACACTCCAAAGTGATGACTTTTCGCATGAGATGCTAAAACCTTAGTCGAAAATCGGTCGGACTAAGACTCATTTCTCAAAACATCAAGCAGTCCTACGACACATTTGCTTAACACCTAGAGCAGAATCCACTATTTAAAAAAAATCGCATTTTTCATGTCTACTTCGGATTGTCTGCAACATGGACCCTGAAGCGTCAAGCATGGAGAACTGCAACATCCAAACAGCGCCTTTCCTGAAGCGGCTGCCAATAGAGATCCGGACCGAGGTCTATCGAAACCTACTCTCCACTCAATACACAAAACATCTTTCGGTCTCCCGACAAGTAAGTTTCATGGCCTATAACCGTCTGTATTAATTGACTCCGTCGCTTTTTGGCCGAGCTCAACATTCAACTGCTGACACGACTTCAGTTGCCAATACATGCGAAGCTCTGGCCTGGCCATGCCTATCATTTGGAGCCCGCCATCCTTCAAACAAGCCGCCAGGTCCACAACGAAGCCTCTACAGTGTTGTATCACGAAAATTTGTTCGTTCGAGTCCGCAGCACCAAAAAGAACCTCGGACGTCTGATGAACTTAAAAGGCATACATGTCTTTCTTAAAGGTCGCAAAGCAGAGACCTTCAGACACTGTGCTATGTCAGTGGACTTTGATCGTCTTAATACCGCACTCAGAATTAAGAGTCAAGAATATGAGCCATGTTACGTCATTGCGTCAACTGATCTTCAGCTCCTCTGTCAGAGCTTGTTAATCCAACACACCGTCATTGGCAGTATTTTTAAGCACTACGAATTCAGAGTCACCATCCACCGTATGTTTGATGACATGCTTAGCAAAACCCCGGCTCGAACCTCATCTCAACGCCGCTTGCTGGAACCTTTCACCGTACTCCACGGCGTCTCTCATTTCGCGATCACTGGTCCTGCGAACACGGAATACTGCGCTAGTATTATCGAACAAGTGTCCCGTATGGCACCTGCTGTGGAGGAGTGTTTCAGTTCAGCGATCGAGTTGAGGGATAAAGGTCATGAATATGTCCTTCAGAATGATCTCGAGGGCGCAGTGAAAGTCTACGAACTGGCCTTCTCACAGCTCATAACCACTTGCCTACGATGCAGGCTTGCGGGAACCGAATGGCTAGCACTCCATCCTGAACTGCCGGGTGCCATTGTCGATACGTATCTAACCCTCGTAGTTCGCCTCGCCTTCACAAGTTACAGACTCGATGCATTTGAAGATGTCCATTTGTGGGCTTGCGATGCCACACGGTTTGACCCCAACGGGAGGGCGATGCGACGCGAGAACTCTTACGCAAAGCTAGTTTATCTGAAGGCAACGGCGAGCGCGCGTTTGGGCAGACACCCACAGGCAGTGGAGGAACTGTGCGAGGGGTTGAAGTTGGTGACCAAGGAAGCGTACAAAGACAAGCAGCTTCTTGCGATGAGACGGGAAATGAGGTATCAGATCAAGGGGCTGGGTGGTATCAGGCTGCTCAAAGCTATGGGAATTGGCCATTTGTGAGCGTGAGTCTCGCCATGAAGGGGCGTGGTTGGAAAATTCTTGTATTTGCAGTGATATGGTGTGAAATGGCTAATTGGAAGGGGTTCGTTCGATGTCCTCATGATTTGCTTACGTGGAGTAGAATCGAACCGGAAATCGGTTGATGAAACATTCAGTATCTATGCATAATGAGGGTAGGATAGCTGTTGACACGACCAATTCCAATATGTCATCGACACGTTGCAAGCGTTGGTAGCAGACACCATAGGCTCCGACATCCTCAAGCATCAACGACACAGCCGCTCTAGAAGCGTAAACGCAGCGACTGTGGACAAGCTCAAGAGCCAAACGTTTCCCTGGAGACCACAATAGGAGACGCTGGCGGTCTAGGGATGGTTCAACGACATGAACAAATGGTTGCCCAGTCATGAATCAGATCTCACATGGCATATTTTCCAACCATTCGGTCATATCCATATCTGTGACAGCTAGGCGCTCACATCCTAAAAAGTCCAAACCTGCTCCCCTCCCTCTGACCCTCCCATCCTACCCCCTCAGCGCCCATCGCAGCCCTCAAGCCGAGCCCTAGTACCCTCCTTGTGTGCGCAGGCGGAATGACACCATCATCCCACAGCCTTGCGGACGAGAACACGGCATCACTTTCTCGCTCGATGCGATCTTTCAACTCCGGATCTACCGTCTTGCCCACCGCCTCCATCACCGAGGACAATTGCTGCGGACCCATGACGCCGATTTTGGCGTTGGGCCACATCCAGAGGAAGCGAGGGGAGTAGGCTCGGCCGCTTCATCTACTCATCAGCACGGCCTACCTAGCACATATATCCGGGTTGGGAGTAAGGCATGAGTAGAAGGGGTAAGGGACTTACCACATGCCATAATTCCCCGCCCCAGCACTACTCCCAACGACCACCGTAAATTTCGGCACATCTGCGCAAGCAACCGCAGTCACGAGTTTGGCTCCATTCTTCGCGATGCCACCTGCCTCTGCATCCTTGCCCACCATGAAACCTGAGATGTTCTGCAGAAAGACAAGAGGGATGTTTCTTTGACAGCAGAGCTGTATGAAGTGCGCGCCTTTGAGGGAGGATTCGGAGAACAAGATGCCGTTGTTTGCAATAATGCCAACTTGTTGGCCATAGATGCGTGCGAAGCCAGTGACGAGCGTGGTGCCATAGTCGCGTTTAAATTCGGCAAATTCGCTACCATCGACAATGCGAGCGATGATCTCGTGGGCCGGAATTTGAGTTTTCAAGTTCGTGCCAACAATACCAGCCAGCTCCTCCGGATCATATAGCGGTTCCTTGAACACCACAACCTTGTTCTTGGTACGCGGGCAGTTCAAATTCCCAACAGACCTCCTTGCGAGCACCAAAGCATGAGCATCATCCACAGCGAGATAGTCCGTCACGCCAGAAACCTCGCTATGCAGTTTCCCACCACCCAGCTCTTCCGCCGTAACTATCTCGCCAGTTGCTGCTTTGACAAGGGGAGGTCCGGCGAGAAATATCGTGCCTTGGTTTTCAACGATGATGGATTCATCGGACATCGCGGGGACGTAGGCGCCCCCGGCGGTGCATGGGCCCATTACGACGGAGATTTGGGGTATGTTCATTGACGACACTGGGAGCTTTTAGCGAGGAAGGATGGGTGCGAGGGATGGGGAGGGGAGGAAGTACTTCGAGCTTGGTTGTAGAAGATGCGACCGAAGTGGTCTCGGTCAGGGAAAACGTCCGCTTGGTGAGGGAGGTTTGCGCCGCCCGAGTCGACGAGATAGATACATGGGAGGCCTGGCATGTCTCAGTATATCTGGCGAAGATCACATGGCCCCCATTTATGGGGCATACGATTTTCCTGGGCGATTGCTTGTGCTCTAAGATGTTTCTTCACGGTAATTGGGTAATAGGTGCCTCCTTTGACTCTGCAATAGATTCAGACGTTGACCTTGACCTCGGCGGCAATGATTGGCATACGTGCTATCGTTGGCCACAATCATGCACTGTACACCCTGTACACTCCCCACACCCGTAATGATACCGCCAGCGGGCACGTCGTCCCCAGGGTAGACTTCATGTCCAGCAAGAGCAGAGAGCTCCAAGAAAGAGCTTCCGACATCAGTCAGGGCGGTGACTCGACTGGCCAAGTCAGCCTGAGAACTTTGCAGCCCTGAGTACATACTCCCGTGGCAGCATCTTGCCCCTGGCTATATGTTTCTCCCTGGCCTTCGCCGAGCCTCCCCCCTCGATCTTCTTGTGTAGCTCCTGCATCCGCGCCATGACTTCGCCCATGTGTTGGTCATTTTTCTGATATTGGGCGGAAGACTTGTCAACGTTGGTAGGGAGGATTGAGATAGCGGTGGCATGATGTTTGTAGGTGTGGGTTGCTATTGCTCTCCTCTGCCTTCGCAACTGGCAATTGCGGAGACCACATCTGGAAAGAGAAGACCCAAGGTACGTTGGTGGTCTCATGACTCAAGCATTATTACACTGGCTCTCTCAGAGCGCCTCCCTATCGCACTTGCGTCAGCTCGCTGTCTAGCGACTGTGGTGTACTCTACGAGAGACTACGAGAGACGTGGGAGATGTCAGTCGCGTCTGTTGAAGTGGCAGTCTGCCGCTTTTAGCCGCGCCTTAGGACCGCATTTAGCCGAGAAGTGATTCCGGTGGCCGCCCTCGCAATCTACAACAGGATGTTATAGAAGATGCAGAAGTATCAGTCAGACGATTGACTCTACCGCCGAAGAGCTGATGAATTGCTAGCTGAGTGCACAGTCCCAGCCCACGTCTGATGCAGTAGCATGTCCAGTAAGCGAGTCTCATTGCCGTCTGGCCGCTGGAACATCAACATTGATAGTAGGCAAGTGGCACTCAATACGGGAGCTTCTATTGTTGAGATGAATTGTTTACGGACGACACTTTCTCCCGGCTTGACGCCCAAGTTTGATGCGGAATCGGAAGGACTTCAACTCCTCAGACTGCCACTTCTATTAATGTGATAGCGTGCCTCATAATGAATGTCATACATTAATCTATCGAGACACGAGAAAGGTCCGAAAAGGCAATTGCCTGTCTCTCTTCCGCATTGGGACTAATAGCCGCTCATCAAAACAACAACATCGGGTTAAGCGCGTTCATTTGACCCTTGCTGGGCCATCAAAAGCGTAGGTGCCCGGCTTCTGCTGGCTAACAGACAAGGGGTCAAGAAAAGCGGCAGCTGAAACGGGTATGACTACTCAAGACTTCGACCAAAATAGCATCAACAAAGAAGTTTTAAGCCATCCAACGCTTGTTCTGTGGTAATTTCGACCGTGAAAAGAGAGAAAAAAATTCACGTTAGACTGACGTGAGAACAAGAGGTTTGGCGGTCCAGACTGTCGTTTTCTTTTTGGCAGCCTGCCTGCTACAGCCGCTGATGCCAACGCCGATACTGCTGAGAGTGTTCAGGCTCATTACGACGAACACGAATAACAATCCCTATCGTAGTTGTAAATGTGATACTGCTGCACTCCAGCATATGCAGAGTCCGCAAGGGGGTAAAGCGATGTATAGCATTTGCTTTCACTGGGTATGAACGTAAAAGAAAGGCAGCTGGGGTCTGCGAGACATGCAGCTGCGCAGTCTTCGAGGGTATCAGGCGGCTGTAAGGTATTACTGTATTCCAGTAGGCCGTCTTCTGCGCAAGTATCATTTGCGGGAGGATCTGGATTGGGGATTGCTGATGTGCAAGAAGTAGGAAAAGTTGGGCTCGAACTTGATGTTCTGCTGGTAAGGCAGCGGGTTGGCAACGTTGTAATGGTGGTAGTACTCGTGTGATTCGTGATTGCGCTTGTGTAAACAGTGGTAGTCGTGACATCTTCGGTCTTCGTCAAAGTTGTCGTATGGTGCCAGTAAATTGGACCTGGGATAGTTCTGTATCAAGCGTATTAGCTCAAAAAGAGGCATTGAGCACGACACAATTTTCTTGTTGAGGAGACGCACGAGGGTTTTTCGGTCCCGGTCACTGTTGCATGGTATGTCACGTCTACCGATGGGCCCTTGGATGACAGTGTGTAGTCCGCTTCGCCGTAAGCAACACCGTGTCCTCTAACGGTAAGACTTCCTCGGTCGAGCTGGGACATTGAAGTCGCGCGAGTAGGATGCGTATATCGCACGGTAGCGACAGGGGGTTTTTTGCTCACAGGTGGATGTTTGTTTGAAATGGCAGCGATTACGCTGTGAAGTGTGGATGCTTCGCTTCCAGAGACAAAAGTTGAGGAGCGACTTTTGGTTGATCGTGTGACAAATCTAGAGAGCGAGCTTTGAGGAGAGAGTGCTCCACTTCCTGGTAGCCTGCTGTATGAGGATGTGCCGTACCCAGAAGAAATATCTGCTCGTGGATTTGAGAGAATCGAGATGTAGGTTTGAATGACATGTGCTCCATTTTCAGGTAACCCGCTCGACGAAGGAATGCCGTAGTCAGACGAAACTGGTGGCGGACTTGAGTGTGCTGGCGTCCCCACAGTTTCTGAAGTGTAGACCTTAGTTAAGGCCGTTAATTTAATTGTATCCGAAGTTGTGGCTGTGGTGGTAGGGCAATTACTCGCTACAACCTTAGCCGTGGCAGTAATCAATTTGGTCGAGCTGATCGTGCTCGTCACGGTCTCCGTACTTAGATACGTCGTGACTGTTTCTGTAAAGTCCGAAGGCCTGACCCATATAACATCAGTCCCATCTGCAGACGGAACCTCACCCGTCTGGGCGGCGGCAACGGTAACGACAAGGGTACTTTCGATATCTTAGGCTTATGTCAGCTAGATTACAACCAAGGACTGTGCAGTGACTTACTAGAATTATCGAAGTTCCTGGTAGAGACAGCGAAATCACTGGTTTGGGCAGGATCGAAAGCGTACGAGGTAGAACAAGTCGTAGAGGACAGGGGCAGAACAGTCCTGAGTCCCTCGATTTGAGGAATTGAGACTATAATGCCCATGGTGCGGAAGACTATTTGCAAGAAGTAGATCTGGTCGTAATGGAGTTTAGAATTGACAAAAGATCAAGGTCGTGATTTTCCGCGCAAAGGGACAGTTGCACCTGCTGGAAAAATGTGCTTAGGGAGCGTGGAGACAGGTATCACTGAAGCCACCCAATTCCAAACTCAAAAACCCGAAGGTGTCACTCGCAGTGCGCAAGGTATACTTGATCCATTCCCAGCTTTTAGAGACGCGGCTCGTCTTTCAGTATCGAGTGTTACGCATTCTGTTGTCGTGACCTTGTTGATGGTGGCCACTGGAATGCAGGCTGATCACGTGCCAGAGACCATGAATGTCTCCAAGCCTTCTCCGCCATAGCATCTCTGCTAATGTTGATTGGCCCAGATGCGGTTGCCGAGCACTGGTGAAGCAACCACCTGCCGGAGACAGCGAAAACGGGTAGATATCGAGAGTTGTAGTGTATATCAAGCTGAGGCGCCACTATTCGCTTAAAGAGCTTGAGCGAAAAGTGTCGGTGTTTGGTAATTGCTTCGCTTATTCGAAAATCGGATTGGAAAACGCACCCACGGATTGAACAAATTCGGGTGGAATCTTCTAGTAGAATGGGTTGAGTCATAGAACCGATTTCTGGGTATTTTCGTGTGTATAATAAGAGTATCCCCGCTGTGTGCTGTTTCCTTATAGTCTTTAATGGTCTTCAAAGATAGAAAAGCTTTTCTAAACAAAGCATAGTCTAACTGTTCACTGTGTTATGCTACCCCTCATAGTGGCAAATTGGCATAGGCTTCACATGGTATATAAGTAGCCTACTTACCATAGCAATCAATCAATCCTTCATCCTCCATCAAATCCAACTCTAACATTCTCAACAAAAGTGGGCCCACGATTAAATTCTTTCCCAATAGCCTTTTCTCTCATTTCCTTCACAGAAAATCAAAGGACACGATTTCACTGAACTGATCCGCTATCATGGATTCGCGACCCCAAAACTGCTACCCTGTCGTCGTCACGGAATCCTCTCGCTTCTACCGTGATCCCGACGACGAAGAAACCTTTGTCCCCCTCCACAAGACCACGCATATCGAGGAGGTCACTTTCTCCCGCAATTTTGCCAACGCACTAGCGAAAGAGTACTTCATCCGGCAACACTGCGAGTCCGTCAGCGACTCCAACGAAGACGACTTCGGCTACCCAACGCCAAGAGCACGCCGATGGGGTATTTGGGTCCCGGAAAACACCACGAAATGCACGATATCCGAAGTAGAGAAGCGGTGCAGGATTAAGGTTGTACTTGGAAGTGGGTCGGAGAGGACGGAGTTCTTGGTAGAAGTTTTGAGACAGAATATTTGCGATGCGGTAGGACCATTGGCTCGAGAGGATAGTGTAGGTTGCATTCGTTTGATCGGATCAAAACCACGAAATGAATTGACTTTCAAACAGGATCCCGATGTCTGAGCATGATGGGCACCAAAAATCACCACGGAATTGTAAAGTGTGGATGTGTCAGAAGGGCTCGAAGCCTGTGAGCCCGATGCGTCTCGAAGCCGGCAAAACCTAGTATTACGTGCAAAGGGTGCTTCTGGCGTCGAATGGCGTAGTCACGCTTGTTGGCATACTTGAAGTTTGACAGTTCTATTTTCTCAGCTCCCAATTCGGTTAGTGCTTTGACAACATCACCTTGCCCATGCGTCAGTGCTTGATACATTGGGGTTTCGTTGCCACAAAGCCAGTCTGGATCGTTACCTTGCTCAACGAGCATGCGTACGATGGCAATATACCCCAACCGAGCAGCGCAGCAAATTGCCAGTCGACCGACAAACTTGCTGCATTGAAGCATGTCCGTTCTCTCAAGCAAGACTTGTACCACATCTGCATGCCCATATATAGATGCGGCAACCAAAGGATTCCGAATTCCGCGCCGACAGGTTAGGACATTCAAGTCAGCACCGTGGTCGAGAAAAGCCTGCACAGTGCATCGGTATCCACGTCTCATAGCTTCGAACAATGCTATCTCTCTTCTCCTTCTGCGAAGATGATTTGCACCCCATTCTAGAAGTAGTCTGACAACCTTTTCATGGCCATGCGAAGCGGCTAGCTCACCACTTGATATTCTAGATGTTCTCCATAACCAGTATAGTCCACTTGAGCTCCATTATCCAAGGCCGTGAGGATAAGTTCTTGGTGGCCATGATGAGCAGCATGCTTCATAGTTCGGCTCTGAAGCGTTTGCGAAGGCTCCACTTGGCACTTCTCAATCTTAAACCGTATGAGATCCGAATGGCCCCCCTGTGCTGCGTAAATGACAAGATCCTCAAAGTCATGTCCCTCCTTGTAAGAAAAGGTGGAATCTGACCAACTTCTCTACTATCTACAAACCTCTCATCCTCTTAGATGGGCGCAGACCGGAGGCTTTTCGACATCGTCTCTGGGGCTGAATCAGCTACCAGACATTTTCAATCAACAGCCGCTATCTACTCGTTGTACTTTGATGTGCCATCTGCAAGCAAAGAACGTCCTCCAACAAGGACTTCGACTGCTTGAGCTCAGTCTACCATCCGAAGAATAATCGTTTGCGACTCTCGACCTCAATCGCCCATCCGTATAGTATTATGCAGTTCTCCAAAGAACCGGCTCCACTCCTCATCGGCAATCCCATTCTCCTCATCCCCAGCCAATCCTACCCCCTCCGGCGCCAGCACTCCAATGCTCCTCAGCATCTCTCCAACCGCCCCAGCCATCTCCGCATCGTTGCACACCCAACTCCACGGCCGACCCACGATCGCACCCGCTCTCTTATGCTCTTCAGTCGCACCCAAGCCCTGGTTGAATGCCTTCAGCAACAGCATACACCATATTGTTGCTTTCACCTCTGTAGTGGCGCTGGTGTAACTGGGTGGTAAAGGTCCTTCGACATGGACGTAGCGAGCGGCAGGACTGATAAGGAAAAGAACTTGGCCGGGGGGCTGGAGGGGCACTTGGCGGAGGGATACGTGCCAGTGGTTGGGCACAGAAGCCGAAGGCGAGAGCTGGTTGCGCGGGAGCGCGTTGAAGGTTGAGACAAGAGAGGCAAGGTCGGAAGCCTGTTGTGCTGAAGTTCCCGACATGGCGGCTAGGGAGGAGAAATTGGATTGTCTCGCCGGCTCACGATGCGTAAGGAAGGAAGGTCGTCGCCAGGAAATGCCAGCATCGGAGGAAGCCCTTCGGTGCAGAGAAGGATGCAGGGATTTTCACTGAAGACAATCCCACATCCAGTGAGTGACCTCTAGTCTGTTCCTCAATTGTTCCTCAGTCACTGGAGGTCGTCGTCAATTAGACGAGGTTTCTGATGAAAGGTCAAAAAACGTTTGTATGGCTTTCACGAAAGAACTCCTGATACTGGTACAACATCATGTGGGGCAATTCGAGCGTAAGGCAACACGGCGTGATCGACAGACGCTATTATCATGGCCGATCATTTTTAGCCACCGAGCTACGGTCAGTCAACCTGCAGCTCGCAAGGATCGAGCAGCAGGCAGACGTAAATCTTCTGGATGACCATCCTTACCCTCAGCCATGAGACTTCAAGTGGTCCTCCGCCCCCAACCCGTTTCTGGGCGGCTGCGCCGGCGGCTAGTCCCTAAAATCGACCATCATCAAGACCTTGCAACGGCTATCCAACATTTTCTTCGAGGCCAATTGAGAAACATGCTTGACGATGGGACTCCGAATACTCAACTTCCCGAGATCGTCGACGGTCTCTAGCGCTTGGTCTTGTGAAAGCTCAAGATTTTGGAGACTGCCATCTGACTTTACTCCAGAAACATATGAGGTGACGACCAGGTAGAGAGACATTATCTCTTTGCAACTATAAGACGTTGTCGAACAATTACTAGTCCGGCTCCTTGCCCTGAGGTCAGATCAGAAGAGGCTTTGGCGTCAAGTTAGCATCTCGACTCCTCGGGAAGACATGCCTCAAGGGTTCTTGATCCTTGTCCGCTTGGGATGCCTCCACCCTGGTGGCTTGAAAGGTACCTTTGTACCTTATTTAAACGGCCATTGTAATCCTATGGAGCTTTTGCAGACAGTTGAGTGTCTTCTTGGGAAAATCTCCTGTAGACCATGTTTTATCTATGAATGCCTTTCGACCATAAACAAAGGTCCTCTCAGAAGCTTGTTCGCTTCTATGGACGCTCATCTTGATGAGATCTTGTAAGCGGCTTCGGGGGTCAACGTCTTGACCTTCTGTTTTGGCTCACGGACAAACGTTCGGCAAAGCCTGCCCTAAAATCTTTCCCCTGACTATTCTTGGTACAAACACGACCTCCTAGCCCCAGTCGTGAAGAGAACTTATTTGCTATTGGTCATGACTTGAACTTGGAATTCATGTCCGGAGTTTCTCTGCATGTCGTCTGGCGATGTGTCTTCGTACTGTCATTTAACAGCTATTGAGACATCCTGGAAACGCTGCACAGCAGCTCTTCGACAGAGCTCCTTTTATGGGAACGTCTTTCCTTGTCTGGCTAGGATAGCAATACATATCTCTATCTAGCTCTCACACACTGTGTGACCTTACATCTATCGAACACTTGAGGGTCGAAGTGCACGTGTTCTCAAGTGTTCCTAGGCACTCAACACGCGGAAGGATTGGATCTGAGATATCCACCCTCTGCTGGAGCTCTGCTATGTTGATTTGTTGATAATACTTTGACAGTGGAAGGATTGAACAGTTCGAGCTCATCTAGAATGCGATATTCCTTGTTCCCGGAGTGCCTGTTTGCCTACTGTATGTGTCTTAGCGCTCGATAATCTTCTGGAGACACTAAGAAGCAAGGCCTTGACCAGGATGTTACTCCGGAAACGAAGGCCTAGAGACAGAAGCTCCTGCTACGTGCCCTGTCCAAAACATCTATCGTTTTGGATTGCAATCGCTTGTCATTGGTTTCACATGATGTACGGCAAGCGCTGAGGCTCAAGCACCCAGATAGTATCTGACAGCATGCATGCAACCCACACGCACGATCATGGACACGCGTCAGTGTGCAGTCGCACCGAAGACGGACCCGCGTCATCATCCTTGATGTCGTTCACCAAGACTTTTGTGGAAAAGCGGCTCTGTCTCCCCACTCGATCCAAGTCCGTCACAGAGACCCTGTCCAAGCACCAAACATCGGCAGTGATGACCGTTAAGAAACCTAGTCCAGCTGAGGACGTTAGGCTAGATCACCACCATCCAACAACCGTGTCTCATCTCCGCAGAGACGCCAGCATCAAAACTTGGAAGAAAGCATGACCAGAGCCAAAAAGCCCCGAGCACATTCGTAGCGGCCGTGCTAGAGGAGGATGAGTGTATTCCCACTATCGTCATGGCGTCCCCGGCGATTGATGCCACTGCTAGACCAATGCAGAACCCCCCTGAGCAAACGACCATAAAGAACAGCGGAAATCCCACATTCTTTCCACACATCCAGCACCATCGTCTCAACCAATCCTCAAGCCCAACAACAATCACCAACCAGCCTCCCAGCCATCCCCACAATCCACCATGCACTTCACCACCACCGCCATCCTCGCCTTCACCCTCCTCACCACCACCTCCCTCACCACCGGCAACGCCAAACGCCAAGCCCCCCTCCTCTGCAGCGGCGCCTCCGCCACCCCAAACTGCTGCGCCGTCAACGTCCTCAACCTCGCGGACCTGCAGTGCGCAGACCGTAAGCCACCCCAAATCACCACTCGTCTACTCCTCCTCTGACTGCGGGGAAAACATTCTGACCGCGCACGCAGCTCCCACGTTGCCGACCGACGTGGCCAACTTCACGCAGATCTGCGCGGATGTCGGACAGGAGGCGCAGTGCTGCACGCTTGATCTTGTGAGTTCTTGTCTATTCTACGTTGCGGCCGGTTTTTGTCGGGGAGAGGTTCGGTGTGTTGATGGTTGGCTGATGGGATGGTGTAGTTGGGTCAGGGTCTGTTGTGCTCTGCGCCACAGAGATGATGATGATGATGATGATGATGATGATGAAAGCCGTAGTTGGTCGCCGAGAGGTGATGAGGACGGGAAAAGTTGGTCGATGGGGAATAGGAAGTGGGAGAATGCATATGGAGATGAGCGCGTATGAGTCGTTTGGCAGAATATCAAAGTGGGTGGTGTGATGTTACATGATGTGCCAACAGAGTTCAATTTCACGATGTTGTCGCCATGAATATGATGTAAATTTTATGATCTCTACTTGAAGAATGCTGATAGTTCACATCCATGATACACGTAATAAAGCGACTGGTAGAGGATGATAGCCTCTACGGTAGTCTTGATATGATTCGTTAACTCACCCTGCAGAAGGAGTAGACATTGGAGACGAGGGCTGGGAATTTTGGATACACCGAACATGATATGGACACGCTGGTTTCTGCAGTGGCTTTTCTCTCCCCACATTGAAAACAATATCCTTGAAAATGCCTGGATTCAGCCATGAAGCTTGATGCCTTACTTCAGCAATGGCTTGGCTGCCACCGTGACTGATTACAGGGCCATGAAAGATGGTCACTATACTTTCTGATCCTGAGTGAGTGATGTTCATCTCCCAGGATTTCCTTTTGCCACGGTTTTCCGGTCGCTCAAATAAGTGGTGTTTGACGGATCGAGATGAATTCTGGTCATCTTCGGCATCTTTTTCCCTTGGTTTTCTCGTCCCTGGGTAAGGTAGAGAGCGGTAGCCTGCTGCGTCCAAGTTGCTTCTCAACGTTACGTGTTCGTATGGACTTCGCTGCCATTGCCTTTACGATGGTGCATCTCGCCGCGAACAACACAGTGAGGCCGCGCTCGCAACCTTGCCGTCATCCAGTCATGCAGCTGCTCATTGCACCACCTGGAACTCTACCACATTGCTCGGCTCTAGTGGTATGCTCACTGCTTCCGGATCCCTTAGTTTGATTTTCATCGGCAATTCCATACTGTCCTTATCCCCATACCGCCAATACCTATCCAAGCCCAATCTCCCCACTCCCAAAAATCCCGCGTCATCACACCGCAGCCAATAGCTCTTCCCCGTCTCCAAGTGTTTGCTCCACCCACTCCTCTCGTCCAAGCCCATTGCCACCTCCTTCCTCACAGTGTCTCCAAGGTGTGCTTCCTCCCATCCATCCCAGCTTGTGACTTCCAGCTCTTTGGTAAAGCTGCCATCGGCTTCGCGGGGCGGGCGTATGGAGGCGTTAGGTCGGACGTGCGGGATTCGACATTCGGGCGTGCAGGTGGGGGTGGTGTAAACGGAATATAAGTTTTCATTCGGGGCGGATGGTGAGAGTGGACCGTAGCAAGGACGGAAAAGGACAGGACGAGCGGCTTGAGTAGTGAAAGTAGTGGAGGCGGGATCGGAAGTGTATGTTAGGATTGCTGCAATTGGGTAGATGCCTTGTGCCAGAGAAAGGGTGGGCGGGGCGGTAAGGGAGATTGTGAAGTGGGGCGCATCGGCGAGGACCGTAATTTGGCGTGCTTCTGTGATTGCTTTCCTTTCGTCGCGCTCGTCGCGCAGGACATCTTGTTTGGCCTGGGCGAGAGCTTTTTGAAGATATTCGGAGTCGGGCTTGGGCTCGGATCTTAGGGCGGCGTATCGTTCCTCATGGGTCATGTACTCCCAGCCTGCCGGTTTGGGGTATGCGGCCCCAGCATGATCTGGTGCTGGATCGGTGCTGGTCTCAGCCATCTGCTGGCGAGTGCTGCTGGATTTTGGGATCAGGTGGAGAATGGTGGCTGTGGTGAGAGATTCACAGCTTGTATCTGTCAACTTAGAAACTGTACTGTCAGAGAGCAAGGAACTATGTGTAGTGATGCAGTCTGCTGCCTAAGTAGAAAGGCGTATGTTGATTGATCAACTCAGCAAAATTGTATCATACCCCCTACACCAAATCACACCCAAATATGGGGTATGATTCGGTAATTTGCCATTGCTTAGGGTATGATTTGATAAATTATTAAAGTGGCCTCAAACTACGAAGGGGATAATCCGCGATCTAGCTTATTCGATTATAGGAATAAGAGAGTTTCTCCGACCGCATTTGATGAGAATTCTATCAGATAAAAACGGAGTCGAGTTACCGCTAGGCTAGAAAGCCATACCCGAGATAGATATTCGCACTTCATACTGCAGACACCCTTTCCGGGTCTCGTAAACCCCGTAAGGCCCCCGAAGGAATAATTTCTAACAATATCACTACGCTGCGTGACGGGGCGGGGCGGAGTAAGCTTCGGGGGTTAAACCTCGCCTCGAACCCCGCCCCGTTGCGCAGCGTAAATACCACCGTTATTAATAATCAAGTCGACGACTATTATTAGACGCTTAGTAAGCTTATCGCTATTATTACTTTTATTAAACTCTCTTATATCAGAAAGCTATTATTTAAGGCCTTCGTTAAATTATACCCCAAGCAATAACAAATTATCGAATTATATCCTATATTTGGGTGAAATTTGGTGTAGGGGTATGTAAGGATCTATACTTTTGGGGCATGAATTAGTAATTCGCCCAGTCGAGTATCATACGTGAAATCGAGTAATGCTACCTTGTTCTGAGCGCTCTGGGAAGTAATTGACCTACTTTCAACTTCAGTCCCTTCATCAACGATCTTTTCGTCAGGGTTCTAATGACGCTCCTCGTTGGTAATCAGCATAGGGTGAGCACCTCTGACTCTTGCTTTGCCTGACCCACGTTCGACTATGTCGCGGTCGTTTGTCTTGCTGAGGTCCAGATAAGCTTGGTGTCCGTCAAACATTAGCGCCATGTGTCCAACAAACCCATATCTGTACCTATATCGATATATCGAATACATCCGTGGTATTAACTTTCGCATGTGGCGAGGTCCATGTAACGATGTAACCACTGTGCCTCTCGGCAACATAGCCAGTATCTGATTTGTCAACTACAAACACTCGTATTCATTGCTTGGGCGTTTTACTTGCACTCCTTGCGAATGTTCTCTGAGTACTACCTGCATCGTTGGAAGGACGAGGCGCAGCCGATACTGTCTGACGCCGCGCCGCAGCCACGTATCGTATCACTTTTTGAGACCATGACCTGTCATATCAGTTTGCTCCCATATGACCTAGTGTTCAAAAGTTTCCGAAGGAGCTCGTCTTGGAATTTTCGCAAACCCTGCCGCTGAAGCTTAGCGTATAGCATACCAACTTCACCGCAGTGCATCTACCGTCGGAATGATGCTCGTAGTGGAATCACGGGCGGCAAAGCGAAACGAAACGACGTTCTGCAGGCTCCAGTGGACTCAACCAACAATACCCTACCCAGACCGATAGCGGCGCCTAATTCTGACAGCAACGTCATCACTTCATATGACATGTGAGATTTACAAGCTGCGGTTCAAATCTAGTGTGCTGAAGTAGAGAATGGATATGGCGGGCCCGTGCATGCACTATGATAAATTAAACATTCGTCCACGAGGTTCGTCGGAGCTGTGCCTATGGTGAATGTTGGAAAGGTTATGTGTTGCTATTCGAAGGTAGTCGAAGGTAGGTGGGATTAAGGACCCGGATAAACTTCATCATTCATATATCTTTTTGAAGGTTGCATTACACTTTGAATCTTCATCTCGCTTTTCTTACCACGCTTCTCACTACTGTATCACCAAGACGCATTGCTCAAACGTGGTGAGAAATTTGTTTGCTGAACATACACCGAACGAACACCTCCGCTGTTCGACCTCATTTTTTGATTCTCACCCTCAGTGCTACTGTACGCTTAGCATGCTTTCCACTGCCCAGTATGCTGCGATAGGCAGCTTCTTTATCGGGCTTACATCCGCCAACCCACTCTTAGCACCCCCGAGCGATACCTCTTCTGGAGCTTTGGTTGCCCGTAAATTCGCTCAGGGTTCTCATATAGACACATCTCACTACCAAACTGTTCTGATAGAGTATGCTGCTGGACAAACCATTGCCACCAAAGCCAAGACTATCATAGACGAAGACAACTACTTTTATGAGCTCTTCATCCCGAGCAGATACCAGAGCGCAGATCATGCCAAAGAATATAACAACAACTTCCTTACCAAGTTCATCGCCCTCGGCGACGATCAAGACTATACGGTCACCATCGACTACATTGGCACTTCCGATGACCCCAAATGCCAAGAGTCCTCCCAACCAGGCTACATGCCATATGCATATACTGAAGGTACCACAATTACCATGTGCGACGCTTTCTTCGCGCAACCAGCGACCAGTGCCATGACTTGTGACAATACCTATCTGGACGAATACGAGACGGGCGCAATGACACTCCTCCACGAGTTCAGTCATTTGAACCCCGCCTACTTCTCGCTTACAACTTCCCCGGACCCTCCATTCAACGATTATACGTATGGGTCAGCGAATTGCGTTAGTCTAGCCAGTAACCCCAACACTGCCGCTCAGGCGATCATCAACGCCGATAACTGGATGTTCGTGACCCTCGGCGCTTATTGGTCGGACAAATGTGGGAAGGATATCGAGCCAGAAGATCCTGACGAGGGTGTCTATGGCGGTATCGACGGTGATGCGGCTGGCTGTCTTCCAGGCCCCGTTAATCAGTGGATCATGTCCTCTGGTGGTTCCTGCAGTGCTCCAGGGGTCGCTTCGAATAGCAAGACATCAGGTGGCCCAGGCGGCTGCGGTATCCCTAATACTGGCGGCATGAACGGTGTGAACGTGGCCGATTGCTGGCTGTTACCGCAAGGCACGACTGCGGTTGAGATGATGCTATATGTCAGCAATGCCACACAGGTTCGTCGTGCCGTTTCTTCTACTTTCCAGCTTTTCCAGTCCTAAACACAACTCTTGGAAGTTGGTTCATCTCTCGAATGGTTGGAAACTGGTCTTTGTACCTATGGCTGACTTTGATTTCCAAAATGTAGGGTTTCTACACCGATTACAACATGACTGCCTTTACAGAACCAGATTGCAGCGGCACAGCGCAAAGTTTCTGGGGCCCAGTCGACTCCTCAGATCCACTCATAAGTGGCGACTGGCTGTTCCAGAGCAGCTGCTACGATAGTCCGAGTGGGACTTCGTGGCAGAGCTACTACGTGTGGAATATCGCTGCTTACGAAAAGCTGTATCCGGGAGGAGGGCCGTAGAGATGAAAGGGGGTCTCGTATCTTTCTGGGAAAGGGGCGAAATCCTGAGAGGCTCAGAGCGATGGGAGAATCGTGAAGCATTTTGACACTCTATACATGATCCTATTTTTTTCCGCGCGACGTTTGGAGTTACCCGGAGAGCTTGGGCATTCACAAACATCGTCGCCAATGTCATACATAGGTATAGAGATAGCACTCAAACCCTTTTGAAAGGACTTGCTTGCACTGGTAAGTGAGGCTGCTCTACTAGCTGTTTCTAAAAGATGGAATCGTAGGTAATGACACATTCACTTCCACCCAACTCAAGTCCGTTCTTCTACATGTGTTGACCTCTGTGGCAACTTCAGTGGCGGCCAATCGGCTCTTCGGTAATATCTTGGACAGGGGTTTTCTTGTGCTACATAACACCACCACTGACTCTCACCAAGGATAAAAATCCTTTCTTCACATTGATCTTCACCTTTGTCACCTCCTGCCATCAACCCCACCACCGCAGTACAGCAGCATGAAGATGGCCGCAGTTACCTTTTTCACAGCCGTAGCTCTTCTCTGTTATGCCTCAGCTCAAAATTCCTCGACCACCCTCCTTCTACCGGATGGCCTCTTCTGGGTAACCCCTCCGTCGCCGCAGACGTTTCTTGGCGCAATGACCGTCACCGACAAGACGACCTACTACACGATCGACTGCGGGAACTTCAACGATACATTATTCTGGCCTGGATCCAGTGGCTGCGCCAACAACAACAGCTACACCTTTTCGGCAGATTCAGCCAACACCCAATATCTCATGCCCAAGTAAGAGAACCCCAAACGCTGACTCCACCCCCAACCTCCATCCCTTCCATGCCCTTCCCTTCCAAGAACCTCACTCACTCACCCAACCAGCATCAACCTCGGCCAAGATCCGTTCTCCGTCACCTCTCCCGTCCCCACCTGGCTCGAAGCCTTCAACCAAACGTAAGTAAGCCTCTCCCCCCTCGAACCCGCCGAAAAAGCAAAAGCGGGCCCGGAAACGTCGCTGACACCCAAAAAACCCAGCGTGACGATCAACTGCGACCCCCTCAACACGGCCAGCTGGGCCCGCTGCGTGACCACCACCCTCTACAACAACGAAGACGCGGACGACAAATCCATCATCAGCTCCACCATCGTCACCCAGCAAAGCACCGTGCACGAGTCGTCCCTCTACCCCGTCATCTTCACCGCCCCCGGCCTCGCCGCCGCGGCCGCGGCCGCGACGCCCCAGGACACCCTCGCGCCATCCACCACCGCCGCACCCCCACCCACCACCACCTCCTCCCCCTCCACCGCCGCACCCGAATCCACCCACCCCCCGCCCGCCCTCACCCCGGGCGCCAAAGCCGGCCTCGGCGTCGGGGTCCCCCTCGGCGTCCTCGCCCTCGGCGGCCTCGGCCTCCTCCTCCTGCGCGGCCACGTCAAGCACCGGGAACACGCGCGCCTGAGCCAGACGGAGCACCTGGTCGCGCTGCCGGCCGGGGGCGAGGTGAGCGAGTACGGGGCGGCGGGGAAGGGGGGCGGGGGGGACGCGCCGGCGGCGGATGTGGGCGGGGTGTACGAGATGCAGGGGCGGCGGTCGTCGGTGAGGAGTGTTGAGTTGGAGGCGTAGGGGGGGAGGTGGTGAGGAGGGGAGGGGTTGGAGGATCGTGGTTTTCTCTCTTCTTCTTTCTTTCTTTCTATCTTTTCTTTCTTTTGGGGGGAGGGGGAGAAGATGGTTGGCGAAGGAAGAGAAAGGGCGTGTGCATGTGTATGATACGATAGGATACCAAAACCCCCGTGGTGCTGATCGTACAGTTGATAAGATAATGAAGAGCATTGCTATCTCCCTATCGATTAACCCCATGACCGAGCTCCTTACGTGTGACCACGCGGCCATAGACAGATGCGAGATATATTGTTCTCTTCAAGCACGTGGGTGGCCTTTGGCATCACGACGGCCCAGATTCCAAAGACATGGACCCCCCTCTCGACGAATAGCGTGCATGAATTGCCTTGTACAGAGAGCTGGAAGTCAACTTGAGTACAACAGCGACTTTTCTTCTTCTTTTTCTCCCTTCAACATTCTTCCGCTACGTCAACGTTGATCGAACGTCCTGATTGGAAAGGCAGTAAGTTGTCGTGACTCGAACAGTTTCCTTGCGTGCTAGCCTAGTCCACACGAATTCCGAATACTAACCTCCCCCAACCTTTCTCTGGCTCCTCGATCACGGGAGGGCCGTCTTCCCGCGCTTGTACGCCCGCGGCAAGCACTGCGAGTTCGCCGACAGGACAGAAGGGGTTTGTTGGAGGGAAAGGGAACTGGATTCCGCGGAGTGGGAGGCGAGGGTGTATGCGGTGCGGATGTTCAACCGGGTGGACTTTGTGGCGGTGCTGGCGAAGTTGAGAAGGTCGAGACCGAGGTTGGAAAGGGTGGAGGGGAAGTTGGAGGGGGTGAGAGGGTGGTGGAGTTTGGCGTTACATTGAAGATGCGGCAACCGACGTCTGTGCACCTGATATGGGAGGATAGATGAAATGGTCTGTAAAGGTTGAGACGTCATCAACGAAGGCAGAATACTCAAATGTGCAGATGCAAAAGTATCTCTGAACCGAACGCCATATATTAGTTGGTCTATGATGGCCATTAGCCGGTCCTTCCACATACGCCTCGCTGATTCGCTTAGAATATGATGCATGTACGTCCAATCGAATATTTACGGCAGCCACCCTCATCTTTGGTAGCCTGCTATAAGATGTTACATCTCGAATTCCCGCCGTCCAAGAACTTCTTCTTTCTCTTCCTGCCCCCTCTTCCCGGCCTGTTTCTGTCCCCTCTATCCAACTTCTCCATCTCCCTAACCTGTCGGGTCGCCATATCTTTGCGGATTATCTGCTTGCAGAGATCCACAAATGCTTCATCCACATTCCGCCTCGCTCGCGCTGATGTCTCGTAGTATGGTGCATTCCAGGATTGGGAAACTTGGAAGGCGCGGGAGCGGGAGACGGCGCGGTCTTCTTCGAGGTCGGATTTGTTGCCGACAATGACGAGAGGGACGAGGGGGTCGTCTTTGATGCGGACGATTTGGTCGCGGAGTTCGTGAAGCTCAGTGAGGGAGGTCAGGGAGGTTATGCTGAAGACGAGAAGGAAGCCTTGGCCCGATTTCATGTAGAGTTCTCTGTTTGAGGGAGGAAAATTAGGGGTCGAATATTAGTGTAGGTTGGGTGGGCAAGAGGTACCTCATGGCGGCTGCGGTTGCGTTAGCCTGGGCATTTGTGGGATGAGATAATGGAGGGCTCACTGAATTGTTCTGTGCCTGCAGTATCTAATCTGGGTATCTATCAGCATAATGTCTCGAGGTCGTCTGCATAGCGCGCTATGTCTCCATACATCTCTAATATGCATTGTCGGCCCTGTCGCACATCAGCATCTCCCAATCAAGCCGAGCGATCGGTACTCACGTCAACCTCGATCTGTTTCCTGTACGAGTCCTCTATCGTAGGGTCATAGCTTTCTATCCACACGTTCTGTACAAATTGTGCTGTATGTAGCTGTGAGCAGAATGCGGGTATGGAGGCGCAAGAATGCCGCATACCGGTAAGACAGCTCTTGCCCACACCTCCTGTTACAGCATGTTTCAGTCCAGCATCTTGACACATAGGACAGTTGTTCTCACCCGCACCGAGCACGACAATGTGGTACTCCCTTCTAGGCCATGGAGGTCAGCGACAGTCGTTTGACGGAGGGTGAAGAGGTGGTGGCACATGCCTTTGCGACATACTGCAGACGCCCGAGCGCCGTTGACAGTCGTCTGTTTGTTCCTGCTCTCAAAGCCTTTCTTCCCCTCTTGTCGCTATGGCCTTGTGAGGTTGGGGGGTGATGCAAGGCGCCGGCGGTGAGTGTCTAAAGTGAAATTGAGATGTTGAAGGTCTCATCTGGTCGTGGATGTATCCAGGAGAGTGCGGGGAGTTGGCGGAGATGGAGGGGAAGAAGTGGAAGGAGGATGAGGAGACAATGGTCATGTCCTTGTTAGAAAATAACTGGGCATCCAATAGATTTATATTTGGATTGGATCGCAAGACGCAAAAAAAGAGCATGTCAAGTGGTCTAGAAGGTAAAGTAAGGTAGCCTCCATTGGAAGGTTTAGCGGTAGCGTGTACCGCTAAGCATGCCTAGCCCTCCGGGACCGGGACGGTGAGAAACAGACTGCCGGGTCAGCCTTAAAGGGCCCATCCTAAAGCCCTAAGAGACAGCCAGGGTGTCTTAACCGACGATCCTGGTGATCCTAATTCTGCCTTGGGATTAAAACACCTCACCATACAACACACTCTACCGCATCACCTCCTCCTCTGCAACTTGTCCATTGTGCTGCTGAGGAATCATAACCTACCTTCCTTATCCGTTTATCCTTACCCACATCTAACGCTCCTCTTCACCACACACACTCACACACTCACACACTTACACGCGTATCTCGTACCATCGATTTTGCGTCATTCCGTAATCACCACATAGCTTCGGCTGCACCGACATCCTACAATTTAGCCTCAACCAATCGGTACCGACCCTCCTACCTCCACCATGCTCACTCTTCTTGATCTACCAATAGAAATACGATTCCAGATCTACCGTGAACTCGAACTAAGTCGCCGAGAGCCAATCTCATTGGGTAAACAATTTGCCGCTCTGGCAGCCTACGACTATCCACCTCAACTTCTTCAGATAAGCCACCAAGTCTGCCAAGAGGCTCTCATGGCTTTCTCCGCAACCTCTAAACGTCCGTGGAAGATCAACGTGATCGCGAGCATCGACGCGAAGCTGTCTTTACCAGATGTTCTACCTGATGGTTTGGCGCAGTCAGCCCATATTCAATTCAACTTCGAATTTTCCCACGAACGCGGTCCGGTAGGCCTAGTCTATATTGGATTCGGTAAATTCAGGCCTGTCCAAAGCCAGCCAAGAAGGGAGACCCTCTTCCAGGCTGTCCATCGAGTCGAGCGTGGCATCGACGAAATCTGTCGGAGGCTCGCGGAAGTCCCGGTCAAGCGCGACATGCAAATCTGCTGGTCTGATGACGGCGATGTCGCCGAGTGGGAGACCAAAAAGACCGTTCTGCAACCTTTTTCTAGACTGCGAAAGTCATGTTCATTCCGCCTTGGCAAGGTTTTGGTTTGGGAGGGCGTCTCTCGTCAAGAGCTCGCTAACTACTTGAAAAGTGTTACTACTCGCGTGCCAGAACTGACAGGATCTAAGGAGCCGGTGGAGCCAAAGATAATCTCGAAAAATTTATGAAATGATGCTCACTCACCTTTTCCTGCTGGACTGTTGCGATGCATTTTCTCGAGATGGGAGAAGCTATGAGAATCATTTTCCCAGCCCTATCAACCCTTCAAGAAGCAAATTCTTTAGATCCGAGTACCCGCAGCTTCAAGCCACTTTGGGAAATGTTTGCGACACAGCAAGCGAGCACCACGAATTCTTATCATGAATAGATTTCCCGCACTCCATAGCTTCCCCTCTTGGAGGATAAGATGCATAGTCCTCAAGGCTCGGTTCGGACCAGTCCGCGGAGGACGGGTTTGAAATCAATGATTTAATGATGATATGCATGAGATCAAGGTCTTAGGATCTGGGCTCCGCGACTGCGGAATCAGTCTGTAGCGTTTTCTAGGGATCGCAAGCATGATGAGCTAATTGGATTCTTTACCATTTTCCAATGTACAGTTGGCGCAGCTAATAGAGCGACAAGAAGTTGGAGGAGAATGGGTGTTGTCCAGGCCTTGAGGGCGGTGTTCACTACTGCACCTACTCGTATCAGGCTATCAGGCTATCGCTGCAGCCTTTACGCGCCGAAAAGGTGGCCCCTACCTTAACGATACTTAATCCAAGTTCTTGGGCCAAAATCACTCACGTGACTCGGCACTATTGACGATCAAGGAAGGTGGTGATGTCAAAGAATGCGGGGGTCCAGACAGCCGCACCAGGCGCAATCCCTCTTATTCTGCACCGAAGATCGTCACCTTTTCTTCTTCACTTATTTTAGTCTTTTAGGCAATGCCAGCGCAGCGTTGCGCTGCCCGATTCTTGTGGTTTTTTCTCTCTCTTCATGTGCTTTTAGAAATAAACTCACAAACATGACGTGAATTCATGATTACGCAAAACGATATTCATTGGCGGGCATCCCACCTCACCTAAATTCCAATTCACCCAACCTGCCCCACCTACTCCGAATCATTCGCCAGATCAGTCGAAAAGCCAAGAGGTTACTCACCCCTACATCTGCGCGCCCATGAAAGATCAGCATCTTCACGACCAATCAGCCTCTGCCGAAGACATTTGGCACCCATCTAAATGCCATAAAATGAGTTGAAAAAAAGTTGGCTCCTGGATGAATGCTGATCGCTGCACTTAAGTTTCGGTCACGTGAAAGGCATCCTAATTTTAATCAACTCTTACAACTCGAACGGATTTCGCTATTCTTTTGAAATCTATAAAGAGCCCAAGTCTCTTCAAACGCTCGAATTTCACAGTTAGAAGTTGTTGGTGTTGGGAATTCTTATTGGGTTAGATTTAGGGCTGACCGCCGTAGTACGCAAATCATAACCCTAACCGTCCGGGGTTCAGCCAAGAAGCTTTTTTATCGGCGAAGCCGATACAGAGGCCTTTCTTTTCGTGTTGATATACAGCGATCATGTCGACCCACTTTCTATTCCACTCTCAAACATTTCATAATGATGGTGGAGATACGTTGTTCAACCACACGGTGTGTACCATCAGAGATAGCCTTGATGTAGTCTGTTGGAATTTTTACAAAGTGCTAGCCACACATGATGAATCGATATATCTTCATCTGATCATTCTTTAGTACGGCCATGGGGATGTGATTGGCCCTGTCTGGATGCTTTTACGAAATTCCCACAATCCTGCTTCTTTCTGAATTACCGAGACTCCTCCTTCGCAAAGTTCCGTGATGCAGGAGGTCGTCAATCACCTAAAGGGGGTCATCCGTCATCCCTCGAAATTGACGCACCATGGAGTGTGAACATGAGTCAGAGTTCCTCGAGACAACCCTCCTGGAATCCTGACGGCGGATCAGATAACCTGACCTTACACTTGAAAGTCTGCCAACTCTTTCTTTTGGCGGAATGCATTTACCAATCCTGCAGGAAGGGTTCCCTGTGGATAGAGGCTGTGTCCTACCAATGTCACGAGTCCGCAATCGCGCACCGCGAACATGTAATATGCCAATCACCTTCAAAATTAACATGGCAACCTCTTTCAATGCCCGAGGCTCAGCTAAAGAAAAGAGTGTGCATATCCTCGAGGCTCATTCCCAACCTCGGCTATACGTCGAGTGTCCGAAATCATTGTCGACATCAGGTGCCTGAGACTGAGAGGAAAGAATTTTGGTACGTAAGTGCTTGGGCATCTCACATATGGCTAATATTTCAGATCAGTAAAATTTGATCTAGATTCTCCGAGCCTGAAAATGCTCATGCCGGTACGGGCGAAAGAGTAGCATTCAAGAACACCAACAAGAAATTTACATGCTGGACAAGGGGTTTGTCGGAGGTGTTATCGCTCACGTGACGGCACGCCTTGGACCGATCAGGAAGGTAGTGATGTCATCCATCGTATGGTTCTAACTACTCTTGAGCTTGATCTTTGTGGTGTATCGTGAAAGATTAAAGTCGCTTGCCCAATTCCACACTTCTACTCTCAATAACAGACGCTGAAACGTCCACACCACCTGTCTACGTGCGCTCATGTTATCTTCCCCAAAATCTTGTTCCATTGATTAGACTCCACCGAGCAAAATGCCTTCCTCAACCTATGATGCCACGGGCGTAGAATACTATGAAATACCCTCTTTCACCTTCGAATCTGGCGCAAGTATCCCCATCAAAGTCGCCTACCGCTCTTACAACCCCTCTTCTTCCAAAGTAGTCTGCATACCTACCTGCTATGGCGGCAAAATCAACACCACCCTCACCTTCAACGAAGAAAACGGCGCACTCTCCTCCCACCATGTCGTCCTCGTAGCCATGCTCGGCAACGGCGAATCCTCCTCTCCCTCAAACACCCCTAACTTCCCCAAGACCCTCGATTACCGCGACTGCATCCACGCGCAATACGAGCTCCTCTCAAAGCACCTCGGCGTAAGCGAGTTAGACGCCGTCATCGGTTTCTCAATGGGCGGCCAGCAAGCATACTACTGGGCCAGCATGTATCCCACCTTCGTGAAAAACGCCGTCGTGATCTGCGGCTCCGCACGCACCAGCGGCCACAACTACGCCTTCCTCGAAGGGCCCAAAACCGCACTGCTGAACAGCGCCGACTACGCCGACGGCGCGTACAGAGCCCAAGGCATCCGCCCCCTGCGCGGCCTCCGAGCCTTCGGACGAGCCTACTGCGCCTGGCTGACCAGCGGCGCCTGGTTTCGCGAACGGCAGTGGGAGAAGTCGCTCGGGTTCCGGAGCGTGGAGGAGTACATCGCCAACGTGATGGAGAAGTCCTTTGAGGAATGGGACGCCGAAGACGTGCTGATCCTCGCGCGCATGTGGCAGGCGGGCGATGTCGGCACGACGCGGGACGATGGCAGTTATGAGAAAGCGCTGGAGGGCATCGAGGCGCGGGTGCTGGTGATGCCGGGTCGGACGGATCAGTACTTCGCGGTCGCGGATAGCGAGGTCGAGGTTGGGTTGCTGAGGAAGGGGGAACTGGCCGTGATTGAGAGTGTGTGGGGGCATGCGGCGGGGGGTGGGATGAGTGAGGCCGATACGAAGTGGATGGATGGGAGAATTAGGGAGTTCCTGGCATGACAGTCAGAAGTGGCGGAGTGTGAGGGGTGTGCTTCAGAGATGTTGACGAGAGCGAGTGGTTTCGCGCTTGTTGATACATATACGCATCATTGACGAGAGTATACGTTCTACATGTTCGGTGCTTCGGCAAGACAAGATCCTTTGAGAAACATCAACAGACTGCTGTGACCCATCTCCCTTTCCACCAACCCAAACCTGTACGGCTCGCTCTAACATCAAAGAAACGGATACCGCGCTCGGTGCAAAGAAATGCCGTACAAGCTCAACCCATACGTAGCCGATACCCGTCTCGAAACTAACATTTGAAGCCGTTTGGAGGGGATCTTTCCTCCATCCTGACTCGGCCATTCGGTAATCAACACGGGATCGCGATTGAATCGGGATCAAGCAAAAAGCATAGGCTCGTCGGCGGTTACAAACGGTCGATAGCTGCGCGCCATAAAATGTTGCGGGCCGGCATGGGTTCGGAAAATGATGCCCTTCTTTTGGAGTGGTGGATGATTGATCACCACGGTCGTGAAGGACAATCTGAGTTGCACGCATATGACGTCTGGTGATCACCGGCATCAAAATCATTGCTTGCGTGTAACAGGCTTTCAAGTTGATCAAGAACCACCGCTACGCTGTGTTATTGAGGGTATAAAGCCGTCACATACAGTACTCATACGGTCGAAAGTATCGATGACAATGCGCTCCGAGTAATGTCACAAACAGCACCAAGCCAACCCACCGTTCCCTGCCGCCATACCTCCGCTCTTGCTCTTTCCCGACAGCCAACGGTCCACTTGTCGCATCGTCTATGCAAGGAAAGATTGCACCCGGCGATTATTTACCGCCCGAACCGGTGTCACACGCCCAGGCCGCGGTGCCAAAAAAGGGCCCGAGGACGCCGGTCAGACCCGAGAACAAGGAAAGTATACTGCAGAAATCGAACGAGGAACCCGCGTCCGCCGTGAAGCTGACCCCGACCTGCAGATAGCCTGCAGAATCGCCACTGGCGGTATCCGTCCTGCTGCATTCGACGAAGTTGCTCATGGTGCAGAATGACGCCGTGCCCACGGAGTTTGGGGGGTCTGGGAGCTTTGGGTTGAGGGTGGGTTGGTTCCATGATTGAGTCTTGCACTGTCCATGTCCGAGCTGTCAGCGGTGGTTTTTGTCTAGCATAATCTCGAGCTGTAGACACGGGGGATGGGTGACTGCATGGCCAAGGTTGGTGGTTCTGACACAATATCCCAGAACCTGCGCTACCACACGAGTGAGGGATTATGTAAGAACTCACCTGGGCACCGTAGGGTACACTCTTGACGATGCAGTCGACGAACTGCGAGCCATTGCCGAGAGTGAAGTCTCCCTTTGGATTGAGTTTGATGGTTCCAGCTATAGGAATCGTTGTCGCGTCCACATACATCTCAGACGGTATGTTCAGAGATCCAGTATTTTCGTAATCACACCCTGTGAGCTGGTCGTTGCAGGGACCGCTAAGGTGCTGCATAACATCGGCCGGTTTGAGATTGCCATAGCTGAGCCTCGTGGGATCCATGGTTACCGAGGTCGAATGCGAACCTGCCCGCTCGACGAGATCGCGCCCCGCGACTTCGAAGGCAACAGTGTCACGTCTTTCCGTCATTAGTCAGGTGATTCAGAAGGCGTTGAGGATACTCACTCAGCCGGGAGAACAATGCTCAGAGCGGTAGAGAACAGGGAAGAGAGGAGAAAAAGTCGCATCATGACGGCGGTGGAATGTGTGATAACTGCTGGCACAGGGTTGTTGATGTGTCGTAGCAGTGGCAATGAGTTAGCAGAGAAATAGTAGACAAGGCTTGAGAATTGTGAGCAAATGAGTGGATTTTCGTGCAATAATAGAGACACAGCAAGTAGCTTTATAACACTGCCAACAATTCTTCGGGTGGCTTGAAAACCCACGAGACTCCCATTCTCATAACCCAATTCTCCTCTTACCTTTGATCTATGCTTCAGAAGTTTCCATCTCGCAACTTTACCTTACCGGTCCAAGGTCCCGCAACTTGATACAACGATCTCTCCACAATGCTGCAAGTCGATACTCTGATCTAACATATTCGATGCGGCACATCTCCAAAATGCCCCGTTTTCAAAAAGTTGTTGGAGATGGCTCGCAGCTTTGCCTTTGTCTGTCCAAGGTCCCGCAAGCTGACACAATGACCTGTCCAAGGTCCTTCGAGAAAACATACTGATCTCTCGTCATCAGGGGGCAACAAGTGCACCAAGCTTGGTTTTCCACACTCTGGTCGGAGGTGGCTCGTATCTTCTCCTTTGCCCCTCTAAGATCCCGCAAGTGGATCAAATGGCTTTTCATCATTGAAGGGGAACGCGTCGACGAAACTCCCTCTTCAAACACACGCCGAAGGTGGCTTCCGACTGTGCCATGGCCTGTCGAGCGTCCTGCTAATTGATAGACTGAGGTTTCACCATCAATGGAGCACATTTCCTCGAAATCCGGAGTCAAACATAGGCCGAAGGTGGCTCGCAAGTAATCTTACGCCTTGCCATGTGCAGGATCCTACAATTTGATACAACGCGATCTCATCACCGGAGGAGCACATGGCCCCAAAGTTCCCTTAGGGTGGTTACATGGGGGGGCGATCGCCGGGAAGAGGCGAAGGGGGTAGCGGGAGAAAGTTGGAAGAAAGTTGGCATGAGACATGCAATGATAGAAGGTAATAAATATACGAGAACGCTACGCGCGCCGCACAGAGGAAGGAGGAGAGCAAGCATTGAGATCAGAGTCGTAAGAAAGAAGCAGAGATACAACAGGACAAGCTCAAGTTGAAGTTCATTATGGTGCGGCGGCGGCACTAATTTGGCGCCCTCGGCTCGAGTAAGGTACCTTAGGTATCTTAAGGTAGGTTTCGTCTCTAAGCTAACGGAGACTAATTTAGCGTCACGGTCGATCTACTGTCGAACCACTGTTTGAACCCCCTAATTGCATTTTTGGATATCAAGGCGATATGATAGATAGTACATGGTAAATGTAACGCGCCCTCGTACTTCAGATTGCTGCCCATACTGTACCTCTCTCTATGACAGTCATCCAGACACAGTACGCTCCAAGGCTAAGGTAAAACTCAGGGGTTCCGACCGAACATCAAAAATACGCTCGTTGCAATTCAGTGTAGTTCCACAACGGCTGCTTCCACAACAAGATATCCAGTGTCACGATTACTCTTCATGTGCAGAGCCAAGACTTTGTAACAGAAAAATATTCTGTAATCCTTGCCCTTCGAAAGTTGTTGTGATACGTCCGCGCCGTTCCGTTGCGCCCCTAAGCCCCCTCTTCCAATCCCGGCCCGCCCCTGCATGTCACAGCCTGGGGAGTGGATAAAGGTTTCAGCGATCAACTGTACCTCGAATTCCCCGAGACGTATCAAACACGACGATTTTGAATCTGAGCGATGTCATGTATGCAGAGTGGCGACGAGCGCTCATCCACTTTGCGCCCTGGAAGACCTGGGGCGAAGCTAATCGAGAAGGACAGGGATGTCATTTCTTCACAAGTCCGTCTCATCCTGCTATGGATGAAGTTTGGTGGGCTGTACATACTACGCTCTGAGTGTTTGCATACGCGAGTCTCACGCTTGTCCACATTTGGCCTCCACGGCGCCAAAATCTTACTTCGGGCGGTAGTTTTGGAGCTCGCTCAGCGGAGCGGGAGCATGGGATTTTGGGCACCGTTGTCTTGGGCCCTCATGGGACGGATCATATCATTGTTTCCCTTCGACGTCGACCCTTGTTAACATCGAACTTCGTGATAAATTCGCATGCCAAGTTTCACAATTCATCAGAAGTATAATTAGAGACAGTGCCTAGCCTACAGGATCCCCACCGGATAAGCCCTAGGTATATCCCTCGTATCTGGCACGATCTTCGGCACTTCTCCCAACCGCACGCTCTCGACGGCGGCTTCCGTACCTTTCGGCATCCGCCTCACTCTCTTCACCTCTGCGATCAATTTCGCCGTGTTCAACAGCCTCGCCTCCGTCCACGGCATGCCCAAGATCTCCATACCGATCGGGATCCCTACCGGCGCATCCGCGGTACTTGGCGAGAAGCCGGCCGGAACGGTCACGACTGGAAAGCCGGTGACCGCGGCTAGGATGCCGTTGCGGCCGGATTGAGAAGGCGATCCGATTTTGACGACGAGGTTGGCTTGCTCGGGGTAGATTAGAGCGTCGAGCGAGTGGGCCTTGAACGTATTCTCGAGGGCGACTGTGAGATTTTGGATCCCAAGTTTGATGCCTGCGTAAGTAATGTTGTCGGTCGATGACACGAGAGAAGTGTCGACGTAGGAATATTGACTTGGTATCACGAGGTATTTGCCACTGGAGTACAATTCGGCTAATGTTGATGGATGTGTACCCTGGAGGGAAGCCCGTGATAGGTACGTATCCATCTCTTGACGGTACTCGAATCTCTGGGTATCAAAGGCGTTGCTAATGGCAGTGGAGTTGAAAATATTCGACGTAATAGTGACGACGGTCGCACCAGCGTTGGTAAGTGTAGCATTTACGCCATTGAAAACTTGATTGACCGGTGTTGTTTCGTTGCTAGCTGTGCGGTTGAAGAAGCCTTCGACCAGGCCAAAACGCATGCCTTTGAGAGAGCCGCCGTAGAGCGCAGCAGAGTAGTCTTGACCAACTGAGCTGAACGGTATCAAGGCTGTAGCATTGTCGTCAGGATCGTAGCCAACGCTTGCCATGACCGTGAGAGCAACAGCGAGATCATCAACAATCCGAGCAATTGGTCCAATGGCATCTTGAGTGAAAGAGATGGGAATGATACCCGCGCGAGATATCAAACCCCTAGTAGGTCGAACACTGAACAAACTATTTGCACTTGCGGGACTGCGCAGCGAGTTGACTGTGTCTGTCCCAGTGCCGAAAACGGCAAAAGATGCTGCAACCGCCGCGCCTGTGCCTCCGGAGCTGCCACCTGGGGTCCGGGTGTGATCATAGGGATTGACCGTCTGACCGCCGAGCGATGAAACAGTCAAGCCTTCCAAAGCTAGTTCGTGGAGGTTCGTTTTACCTAGGATGATGGCGCCAGCGTTTTTCAGGGCAGTAACAACGGCTGCGTCGACTGTTGGTTGGGAATTTGCGAGGTCCAAACATCCGCCTGTTGTATTCATGTCCGAAGTATCATAATTGTCCTTCACTAGCACTGGGATGCAGAACAGAGCCCCGGTTGCATTTCCGGCGGCCAGAGCATAATCCTTCTCGTCCGCGATTGATAATGCATTTGGGTTCAGTGTGATGATGGCATTTATGGTGGGGTTGTATGCTTCAATGCGGGCGATGAACGACTCGACAAGGCTGCGGCAGGACGTAAGATCGCTGTAGAGGGCATTGTGGACTGCTTCGATTGTAGACTCTCGTACGTCGTAGCTATCGATTTGAGCAAACGTGATGTCGATGACGAGAGCGAACCATGCCAAAACTGTCAAAGCGGCATTTGTAGGATGCATTTGAAGTACTTTTCGTTACTGTAGTGCGTAGTAGCAATCGACAGCACCATAAAGTATTCATACGATATACGATACCTATGCCATGGGCCAAAAAGATAATGTCTGAATGGAAGTCGCGGTCTGACGACAAAGGTTCCGCTATCGGACACTTGCGCTAGCTCGCGATAGGAAGGTGCTCATCGACAATTGGCTTTCAGAAAGACAGTACAAAATAGAGTGATGGAGTTATAAGAACTTTCTTTACTCTTCTTCTCCTCACAAGTGGTGTCTACATACATATCAGAATGTGAGAGTGCATTCAGTGATGACTGAGCTGAGCATTCTTCCTCGAATTGATGTTGTTTTTTGATCACCTACCCTTGCCGTTCCGCAAGCCCCACGACCTTTTCTTTCTTGGCCTCCGTACCGGTACCGCCAATCTCGGCGATTTGATCCACACCCTGGTAATCTGGAATATCTAGATCATACTTCTCTGCGACGGACTGCGGTATGAACCTGTCCGATAAGCCTATGATACGAAGAACCTTGGTAATATAATGAGTGAGGAAATTACCTTCCACCAACGAAGTGCGTGCCCGTGAAATGCTTAACAAGCGGCTTTGGTGCAGTCAGACTGATTAAAGTTGCTGGATGGAATTTGGCACCTGGGCCTGATGCGGGCGGACCATCTTCGATACTCCATGACGATGGTGCGTCGACAGATAGTACAGGGACTTTGGTGGTCTCCATAGCAATGATCGGATCCTTGAAAGGGTCTCGCACCTCGCCCGAGAAACTAAATCCTGGAGAACGTGAGTTTCGAGACGGGTCTTGGAGCTTTACTGGCAATACCGAAGATGGCGTCTACTACATGATCTGTAGTCTTCAAGGAGCCATTAAAATCTTCGGTAAATGGCACGTCCAGATTCTTCAGCTGAGTAGCCAGACGCTCGTAGAGGTCGCTCTTGCTTTGCTTGGGATAGAAGATGGTCGGTTGATATCCGTAGTGCCAAAGATGACGAGCGGCAACGAGGCCATCGCCACCTGTATCTATAAGCTGAGATAAAAGAGACTTGACAGCTATATCCTATACCGTTGTTGCCGGGTCCACATGCCACTAAGATCTTCCTTCCATTGCTTGGTGGATGAACTCGGTAGACTAAGCGCAGACTTTTTCAGAATCGCCAGTCTCAGAGACCAAATTGTCTACGAACCTGCTTGAGAGACCGAGAGGCCGGCCAATTCCATCAATTGATCAAGGGAGAAGGCTCCGATGCTCATGAGGTCTTTGTCCAATGCTCCGGCATTTTTGGCATTGAGAGTCTGGTGATCATTGTTAGCTCGTCGCGGAGATGGTAGATACTGATTCATACTCTGAGTGCCATGGTTGATGGGTCTTATCCGTACGCGTTCTGTAGATGCCGGATATTGGAGGGGAAAGGAAAGAAAGAAAGAAAGAAAGACGGACGATGACGACATGTCCCTCCAAGACTTCAGCACGTCAGCGAAGCTGCTGACAACTCTCGCTGTTGTCCCACACGCACAGAAGATCGTAAGGTTTAATCTCTATATAACATGCTGCACACAGTCTGACTGGTCATCGCGCCTTGTGGACTACTCCTTTTACTGAAGAGTATCGAGAACGGTACTGCCCTTCTCGCCTTACAGGGCTGACAAAGCTATATTGTATCGGGACTAGCGCACATTACATGCAGGTCCAAGAATTCTGCATCAGACCTACATCAAGATTATCGAATCAATTTCTCTCCATTCTTCTCTTCCTTTCCCCTGCCTTCTCTCCGTTCATTGTCTGCTAGCTAGGTGGCGAGCCCGATTGACATGATGTAAATATTGCGCCTTTTGTGGATTCCATAATCTCATGCATTGCACTTGATAACATGGTCTTTATCTTTGCATGAAGCAGCGTCTATATAAAAATTCCATATCTAACGGCCTGAAGCCATCTCTCTGGAGAATTTGAACTCGGCAAGAGTACCCATTTTCCACACACAATCTTCATGGACTTGGGCCAGGCATCAGAGGCTGAGTCTGAATACGTCATAAAGACATTTTCGAGAGAGAACAAGACGACACTGCTGAGCAGATATCACACTGAGGGGTGCTGTACGCCCACGCTGGATGTGCCTCTCTTGGTCACATTAAAATATTTACTTGAATTTCGTCATACGTGAGACCAATGCACCAACTTGACGCTGAAACCACCACAAGCTATGTAGCTCACTTGATGAACTCAGTCGAATTGCAGTACAGTCAACCGTTTCTGCGTCAGAGACGTATTATCCCTGATCAACGTCCTGTTTCGGATATTGTCATACACAGTGTCCCCTTCCCCTTCCCTTACCTCCCCTTCTTCTCTGACGCTCTCAATGCTCGTTTCCGGCAAATTTAGAAGAGCAGACGCTCGCCTATCAAAGCCAACAAAGACCCCGGTTCAGCATCCTCATGAGCCTTGCTCTCAGGCTCCGTGACTTCTTCAGACTGGTTCTCATGACCTGCAACCTCCGTTTCCAGATGCGAGTCCGATGAGGATGTGTTGTGAATCCATCGGGACCTAAGTTCGTCGGCGCCAAGGAGTCCATTGCACTCGGGACAGAATCTGAAATCCCATGGCTCGTAGTCGACCAGGGTACCGCAATGTTCGCAAGGCATGACGGCTTCGTCTTTGTATCCGGGATCTCCGAAACCGACGTAGATTCTCTTGCCGCCTGGGTAGTGGTGATGTCTGACGCCGCAGTCGAGACAGTAGTGTTGCGCTGGGTTCCAGGTGGCATAGTTGAAGCAGAGCGTGTGGTGTCTGGCTGCCGTTAGATGGCGCTGGAAGCGGCTGAAATGTTCCTTCTGCAGGAGGCGGTTGCAGTAGAAGCACGTTTCATAGCCTTGCGGTATGATTTGCCATTCCTCGAGCATGCCTAACGACGGCCCGTATGGGTAAGCTAGGAAACTTTTGATGGTTGGAATTTCGACGACGCGATAGAAGAGGGTGGATGTTTTTTTCAGGGACCAGGCGTCGTCGTAGTTGAGGTAGCTGATGATTTCTTGGCGGAGCTCTTCTGGGATGGTGGAGATGGTCGGTGGAGACATGGCGCTTTGACTCGAAAGCTAAAAGGGGCGATGCCTAGAGTGTTGCAGGAACACAGAATAGATGGCCTGTCAAAGCAGAACTTCGCGGGATGGCCTGGGTTTTATCAACAGGCAAAACGTTGATATGCTTGCAAGTAAAGATCTTTCCCACTCGCGGATGCCACAGATCCAAGTGCTAGCCAGAGTATGCCATGTGAACGTCGTTCAGTATAATTATAAAGAGAACACGGCGCTGACTGGTTGCTACCGGTAATGCGAGAGCTGGCCAGAATATTCTTAAGCTCACAGTGCGAAAAAAAAGGAAAGCTCAGGTGATCGAAGATCAAGCAACGGGGTAATAGTAGTAGGAAAGTGTTGTCGGCTTTGTTAATGCTCTAGAAGTATTGAAAAGGCAGGCCAAAGACACTTTTTAATGGAATTTAGATCCCATCAATGGGCAGAGGTAGGGTAAATAATTTATCCAGTAGTCTTCCTTGCTCATGCCAGTTGAAAAGGTGATCTTTAGATCGCTGATTACCTCAGATTTCCATATCTCAGTCAGCCTTGCATTGGTGGCTGTGCGGAGCTTGCTTATCTAAACCCTCGGGGCCGGGTAGGTGTAGTGAAACTTCCAGCCCTATCAAGATTTCCTTGCCATTTCTGTGACGCTCCACCTTGATGCACGCACATTTACTAACGGCGGTCGGAATATCGCAAATCAAACGACTTCAAGTCTCAGGCCGAAGTCTTCATTTTATGAGAATATCATGCTTAGTTCCACGATTTTTTTCCCTCAGCTACGAAAACCCTCCTCATCACCTCATGTCACGGTTCCAGCCTACCTTCCAGCCTACCTTCCACGCATGCGCCCCAATCAGGCCTAGCGTGGCTTGGCACTACTTACATCCGTGGGCTTCACACCATAGATAGTCTTTCATCTGACACCTCACTTCTAGCCAGCCCACTATCATTGTGATACCATACCCCTCAATCTTATTTCCGAATACTGCCGATTAATCGTAAGCCTTCAGTCTTCGACAGAAGGTTTATGATCACTTGCTGAGCTGGACACAGTAACATACTATTCTACGTCCACAAGGATGGACCAAGGTCCTTGGTATAGTAGACTCTATTCAATGATAAATATAATAGGAAAGGGTGTCATAACAACAATGAATCGTCCCATAGGTACAATGTCTGGAGAAGCCCAGCGACGTTCCAACCCCCGCAACTTCCTAAGCCTACCTCCAGAACTACGCCATGTCATCTACCGCCACCTGCTCATTCCGAGTCCCATTGTGAAAATGAAACGGAAGGCTTACGATCTCGAGCCCGCCATCCTACTTGTCAACAAGAAGCTTTACCAAGAAGCTTTGTGGGTGCTTTACCGAGAGAATGACTGGATCCTGTTGCACGTTAAGGCCCCCTTTCAGACACATCTGGACGGCTGGCATCTAGAGAATGATTTCCAACGTTATCCTATTGTACCTCTTGCTGAAAAGAGCTTTAGCCAAAAGCCATGTCTAGAAGTGGAAATTTGCGAGACGGGCGCTCAAGTGCGAGGCAGGGCCGGAGGGGACCCAAGAAGATTCCTAGTCTCGCTGGATGGCTTGACCAAGGTCTGCCAAATACTAACTGCGGCCAAAAACACATCGAGTCTGGAAATCATTCTGAGTTTCGTCGAAGTGAAAGCCGATACCCTAAATCAGATCATGGATTGCCTAGAAGAAGTCTGCGGATATGGCAACGTTGTTGCGAAGGGACTGGACGCTGAAGCTACACAAAAAGCAATCAACAAGGTCATGATGGCGGAGGCATCCACCGGCAAAGAGACGCTAGAGCGGACCACTAAGTACGAGGCCGGTATCACTGAACACATCGCTCACGGAAGATACATCCCAGCCATGAAGGCCTGCCAGGATGGTATGGCGTACATAGACTTTGTTTACAACAACTTGGGCAATCGGGACTTGAATCCTCACTCCAGCCTGGTCCCGACACTTCTAAAGTTCACGAATTTTGCTTTGAAGCATGCTCGCTGCTGCTTGGCTTGCGAAGATTTTCAATCAGCCCGCGAAATCATGAACCTTCTCCTAGGTTCCGATCCTCACACATCGCTCTATCAGCCGAGTCGTCCATATGTTAGTGAGGCCCACTTCTACTATGGACAGTCGATGGTCGCAGGCGGGGCCGAGAATGCTGCTGCGTTCAGTTTCTTCCGAGCACTGGATGTAGTTCCCTCCCACGAAGGAGCTAATGCGGAGCTTGACGCAATGGAAGTCAGACTCGCACTCCGAGGGCCAGATGCCGAGACACAGCGGGTTAGGCAAAACCTCCAGACCCTTGGGGCCTGGCGGCACAGAAATGAGCAAGACGGGCGCCTGCCCCACGCTGAGCGCACAAAGCGTATCTCAGAGTTTCTGCTGTCAGACGATGAGAGGATACCTTTCGAAAAGCGATTAAAAGCGATTATCGACCGCAACGTAAGCTATTTCCAACAGCAGGAACCACCTTTTAGCAAATTCGTTAATCTGAACTAGGGACTCGAATTAATTATCGACACTCTTGACTCAGTCCCTTCGCGCGATTCGGCCTTCATCTTCTGTGTAGGCGTGAGAGTGCTCGGGGACGACATTCTGTGAAAAAAGACAAACATGCGGTGGCCGCTGCAAGAGGCCTGCTCGCATCAGCACTAGTCGCCACCGACCTCAGCTACCAGGCGACAGCTACTGAGTCCTTCGCATGCATGTCTCTACACAAGGCAATCTAATGACATCCTTGCCTGAGCTCCAGGGACATTTTATCTACCATGACGCAGTCATGGAATGTTATGTTTCAAGACCTTTCAACGTGCGAGCACGCGGCGACTAGAAAACCTGAGGTGGGGGGGTATGTAAGGGTTCTGAGTTGATGTTGACAAAACACGTACGCTCCTTAGGAATACAATCAAGCTTTTTGAATATCCCTGAATAAAAGCCCGTTCACTCCGTATCCATCTCCAGTCAGACCTAACCCATGACTATGACTTGAATCACGAAATCTCCACTCCTCATCTGCTCCTAGTAAATCGTACACACCATAGTCATAACTAGTCACGTGTCCAAATAACCGAACCCTCTCAACGCCAGCGCTAGCAGGCCTGAACAGGCATCTGGTATCCTCACCCCAGCCCAGCACCACGCATTACCCTGCCTATACAGCATGCACCTATCGGTCCAACATCAATAGCTAGACACAGGCGTGGGACGGCGGCACCAAAGAACGTTCTAGCTCTGAAAGAGACGAGATCGATCAAACAGCCATCCGCTGCTATGAACGAGTATACAGACGGCTCGCCGCTTCCAAATAACATCTCCACGAGGCCTACCGGATCCGCTCAGCCGCAACCTCATCACTCGATAGTCACGCACCTGACAAAGCCGGCGGACCGTTACAGAGTTCCCCGGCTGGTTGTCGACGGCTGGGTAGAAATGTCAGGGTCACTGGTGACTGCAAGGATGCGTTGCAACTTCCCACTTCGTCACGGATGAAATCCGCCCGTTTAGCTAGTTCTAGCCAAAGTGTCGGCGAGGGATCCTATCGAGGGTAAGAAAGGGTTTATAGGCTATATTTGGCATGATTAGGACTAGAGGCTGTGCGACTACTGTGTGGTCAGATGGGGTATATATGATAGGTAGGATATAAGGAAGGAAATTCATGTAGGTGGGTATGGATCTGATATAATATATGACTACTATATGGTCAGATGGAGTATATATGATAGGTAGGATATAAGGAAAAATTTCATGTAAGTGGGTATGGATCTGATATAAATGCAAAAGTCGCTCTGGAGATTTGTCACCCGATTTGGGCTTGTGGCACATAGAAAACCAGATGCATTCGGGGGTCATATCTCAGCCTTCCGACCCAACACAGAGCAGACAAGCGGGACCCACGAAGAATGATGACGGGAACGAACGTGGTGACTTTCTATCTTACAGACCACCCCAAAAAAACCCCCACATCCCTCCTCACCGGCATCCGCCTCAAAAAGACCAAATACCCCGGCCGGAACCCCATTCCTCCTTGGCACCCCCGCATCGAAGTCCAACCGACCCCCTCGCCCCTTCCCCATCCGTCTCGAGCCCATACCTCCAGTGCGCCAACTAAGGCTGCTTCGGGTCAGCAGGGCACGTACTCCCGATGCAGCAACTGATCAAATTAGTCCCGCAGCCGGCGCCGGCGCCGAAGTCGTTGGGATAGGTGAACGCGGCGCCGGCGCAGGGGGCGAAGAAGGGCGGCGCGGGTCCGGGGGTGGCCTGGGGGCTGTTGCTCGAGGGGTTGAAGCAGATGGCGCTGGGGCCCTGTACGCGGATCCGGGAGTCAGCATTTGCCCATCCGAGGTGGGAAATGGAAGTCTGGGGAGTGTGAAAGGTTTTCCCTGCTCCGGGAACGTTTCGTGCGACTCGATTTCCAATACCAGATGGGAAGAGGGGTCGGCTCCGAAATATACGTACCTGGGAGGGGCAGGGGGGGCCGTCGTCGTGGTAGAGGGGGATGTTGCAGCCGGTTACGACGCCCGTGCCGGGATCGCCGCAGGAGCAGACGATCTGGGATGATTGGTTAATAAAGACGCGGTGGATTGGAGAGTTATTGGGGAGGTGGATTTGGTGGGGGGAGAAAGAACGAAGGGAGAGGGAGGGACAAGGGAGTGGAGCTTACGGGAATACTGAAGCCCTGGACATAGCTGATATCGACGAATGGCGCACCGTTGTCGTAGCTCGCTTCGATCAAGCTGCCACGGTTGATGTAGTCGGGATCATTGTCTTTGCCGATGGCGATGCGACCGGCCCAGTTGGCGGGATAGACGGCTTCGAAAGAGTCGCCAATGGCGCCGTTGCCGGGGTAGCTGATTGCGGTTGGGGAGCCGGCGTTGTGGCCGAAGGAGGCGTAGAGGCCGCTGGGTTTTGGTTAGCGTGTGTGTTCTGATAGGACGCTCAGGTTGAGAGAGGCGGTTATGGCTTACCTTCCGAAGGAATTGGTGACGCTGATGGTCAACGGTCCTGCAACTTGGGGTGCGGGGGCATCGTTGACCAGGGGCGCGGGGGTGATGCGGGGTTGAGCACTGCCTGTGATTCCGCTAGTGTAGATGATAGGTTCGGCGATGGCTGGGATGGTGAAGGCGAGGACGAGTCCCACGATCTCAAGGTTGAAATGCATGGTGGTTGAATATGATGCACTATCAGTGAGTGATGGAAGGGTTGCAATAAATAGGGTTTAAGAGCCGCTGTAACTATGAGAGAGAGGTTCGAATGGAGGTCTTGATGATGGAGGAGATAGGAAAGATATTGCGGCATTGTAGAGGCTTTATATAACAAATCTGAGGCCCCAATTTCCACAAAACAGCTCAGCTCGTTCCTTTAGGCCGCTTGCTATCCAGGAATGTTTAGGTTAGACCGACCGTGCGCAACGAACACGACTCTGTGTATGCCTGGTCCCTGTCAAGTAATTGTGGAGGAGGGTCCCGTGGAGTTTCATTAACGAAATGGTAGCCATTCTGATTGGCGATCTGCAGGACCTCTCCGAAGAGCTTGTTCTCTGCACGTGTAGTCTAATTGGAAAAAGAGGAGAAGCAGCGACGTGTAAACTCCACCAACAACTTAGGCATCCAATCCAATTGGCATATCCTTCGAACGTGCCATGAAACATTGCGGCACGCTCGCAAGATGCCTGCTAAAGATGACGTTCGTGTCCGAACAGGGAGTTGCCGTAAGACCCGAGATGTCTCCTAAAAGGTGAAAATTTGGTGCTCAGCTCGGATTCGGGCCCGTGTAAGATGTAACGTTCTATACGAGACCAGTGACCGAGGTATCAAGCCTCAATACTGCCTTTCGGACCCGCTGTGTTCGCTTTCTTTGGTGGTGATAGCGTAAATTCATTCATGCACAAGATACATCTTCGAAGGGTAGAAAAAGAAACTCTGTTGCAGGATGATAGAGATCCGCCATAGGGTTTTCAGTACTGTTGCCTGAGGCAGTAACGCGGCCCACGAGCCCGGGCAGATGAAAGCCGTAATTCGATGTGGCGCTGATAGAATCAGGGATCTCACACGTGTGTATCCCTTTTTGATACCTATACACTCCCTCGAGTCGGGTCAGTGTCCGCGGTTATCAGAGTAACAGGCAGCCAAGTAGTTATGCGCACTGGGAAGGGCATAATTCAAGTATGCACTTGATTAGATGAAGATCCCTCCATTCCTATCTAGAGTAGTACTACGCATTGCCTCGATTGTAATGTGACACTTGCTTTTTTGTTCGCTTGGCGAGGAACTCCTCAGGGCCATCAGACCCCAGACATATGCAAAGGTGTGATGCACATTTTTTGATGTGTGCTTTGAATTGATCTTACAGAAAATGGATCCAATAACTTAGATAATGAAATGGACTCGACTGCTTGGATGGTTCAGGGTGTGAGGTATTTTCTTCGATGCAGGTCAAAATTGCTGTGGTTTGAGGCAATTCTGTAGGAACGGATCCGACTGCATCAATAGTCAAGGATGTGAAAGACTTTCTTCGATCCAGATCAGAGTTGCTGAGCCAATATCGTCGACACTAACCCGATCTAAGGGTTGTACATATCTTGAAAAAGGGTGTACACGTATGAGATTCCTAAAACCAAGTGTAGGTCAAAGGCGCTGACCTACCACTCTTTTTGGAGAGACTGGGACTGCCACAATTTGTCTCCCATGGAATCGGACGCCCGATGTACGATAGATCATGGCAATACTGAAGGGTAAGTCGTCCTACGTTAGCTCATTTCGGAAATCTCCCGGGCCTAGACTTCAAACCATCAAGGCAAACGTGGAGGCTGAAGGTAACCCTGCCCCAATACAGTCAACAGCCTTGCCAATTCTCGACTAAAACACGTAATGAGACAGTGTATCCTCGGAGCGGATTGGGGCCCAGCAAGTGTCGTGCGGACATGGACCATCGCATGTGGTTTAGTGGGTCAGCCCGTTGCTCGTTCCTGATCTTTGACTGGCTACCGAGCAGAAAATCAAGAAAAACACCGGGGTTTACCCGGGGTCCTCTCACACACTTCCAGGTCTTTTGGGGGCACAGCATGGTATGACCCGGTCTGCTTCTCAGAGAATGTTTGCGGTGCCTCTTTATGACGTTTGACAGGCTTCTCTGCGCATTCGTGGTTGCCACATCATTTGTCCCAGTGCAAACGGACCGCCGCCAGAGCATGCTCCACTGAAAATCGTTTTCGTGGATAGAGCAGTCTTGAGGAAGACCACATGATCGTGGAAGAAACATGGAACACCTATCCACTGATGCAGTGGGCAGCATCTTTGACCGGACCGAGGCACCAGGAGATTTTGCGCCAATTTCCCTTTCCAGACTCCAATGGCCATGTGGGCTGTAGACTGTTTTCTTCCTACTCGAATCGATTGTCGCCGTACCTTCCGTCGTATAGGTATTGCCATGGATCGTTCCTTCCCTTTGCAGTAGGTAACATCAAAGCCCAACCAGAAAAATCAACGTCCGCAAAGAGTTGG